ATCCCAACATAAATAGATACTCAACTCCCTTTCTAGCTCTCTGTGGAAATCGATCCCGACCCAAAATCAGGTAAAAGCTATTGCGACCCTCTTTCGCTACTTTTTAGTGGTGCAGAGTAGGCTACGATCAGTACACATAACACATCTTTCAGTACATCACCTCCTGTGAGTTGACACTCCCCCATATGTGAGATTGATGCTGAATCTCCAGTAGGTAATTACACTTGTCCTGAATTTCCTACTGAAGTTTCATTTTTCAGTAAACTCTTATCACCAGTCATGTGGTTAGTAGCACCAATATCTACTACTATTTTCACAGTTCTAGTTCTCATATAATGCTACGTTACCACAAAAGCACTTACCTGCCATGTTTGCACTAGTCCCTGCAGTAGAGCCTTTGTTCAGCAATTGCAACAACTGATTATATTGTTCTTTAGTAAAGAACCGAGCTGGTTCAACATTACTGCTTGGCTGATATTTGCTTGTGGTTAGTGAAGCTATCATTCCTTGCTGTCCAGATCCATCTATCATGATTGCATTTGCTTTCTTTTTATGCTTGAAATCAGAAGGATAACCAATAATCTTGTAACAGTTCTCCTTCAGGTGCCCTGTCTTATTACAAAATTCACACCTCATCAATTTATAACATTCATTTCCAGTATGGCCTTTCATATACAAAAATCACATTCTTAGATATAGTTTCTCCTTGGCTTAGATGTAGATTGAGCAGTAAACAACACAATAGGATCATTATGCCCAATTTGCCCATAGGTAGCACCAGTAAATGATTTCCTGCTTTCTTCATAAACTACCATAGCATAAGCCTTATTTATAGATGACAAGCTTGGCATTAATAGAATCTGACTCCTTGCTTGGTCAATATTGTCATTCAATCCCATCAAAAATTATAGCAGTCGTTGATACTCCAATTGTTCAATATACTCAGTGGCTGATGTAGTAGGTGGCAATATGGAATCATAATCTGCCCAAAGGTCTTTTAGCTTGGTGAAATAAATCGATACTGACGAAATCCCATGTGTTAGGGCGAATATTTTGTTATACAAGTAATACAATCTCGATGCATTCACTTTGTCAAAATGTTCCTTGAAGGAAGCCCATACCTTCTGTTCATTCGAAGAAAATAGTACTCCTATTACCAAATCTCTGCTCACATTGCTCAGGAGCTATCAAGTCACAATCGCATTTCACCGATCCCACTGACTTTCTAGATTTGGACCAAAATCCTCCTTCGATGTTGATCCATCAACTAAACATAATTTGTTCTTTCCTAACAACGCTACTTTCATTGCACGACTCCAAAAAGATTAATTTTTCATACCTGCCAAAATGAGTCCCACAGGCATCGATCCCGGACCATCAGATGCATGCAAGTAGAGAGGATGATTATGATCTAACACAATCGAGCTAGGTATCGTTCCGATGCTCGTATTGTCTCCATTGTTCGCATTATCAGTCGAGTTCTCTGGAGGCCATTGATAGACTACAAAATTAGGGTTCAAAGCTTCTGAATTTGAGTAGATTCTCTCGAATTATCTTCGAAGAGAGAAATTGAGATTGAGAATTTACGAGAGAGAATCGGACAAGAGCTATGCTCTGTGTATTGATACAACTGATTCAACTACTAAGAAGGAGAAGCTACAATATATTTAACTAACTAACCGCCCTTAGGACAGTTGTGCATCACTAACACTAACTAATACTATAGTTAAGTTAGGCTAACTAAGGTTAACTACTAGGGTTAACCTATATTCTTTACATTATGTCATTCACTTCGTGGTGTAGCCTCCATGGGATACTAGCATCATTTGTTAACCATTGAACCAATAATAGGGAATCATTTTCCACCTCTAGCTTCCTGATATTATGATTAATGCACCATTCAATTCCAGCTTTGAGTGCTGGTGTTTCTGTAGTTGAAGGAGGACGCCATTTTACTGCGAATTAATAACAGGTCCTACCTTATCCATTAGTTCAAAAAAGTGATTTAATCTCATAAATGGAGGGATTCTAGGGAATTGCTTATGAGCAATTATATTAATTCGATGGGTGGTACGCAAGATAATTCTATTAGATGACATACTCACCCTTTCATGTCTACTCGAACATCTTGCTTTCCAAATCTGCCAAACGATAACACCTGGTGATATTTGGAGAATCAGTTTATGAATATGATTATGATCTTTTTCCATCCACCATGTAATGATCATATGTCTGATGCTCCTCTACGCCCTCCTGATCCCGAGCATTTGATTAAAAAAATTCCAAATAGTGTCGACTATTCTGCTATTGATAAATAAGTGCTCCTCATCCTCCTGATTAGGATTGGTACAACAAGAACATATCGAGGGGAGAGAAATACCAAATCTACCCATATTCGCATCCATTGAAACTTTATGCGTGAGTAATCTCCACAAAAGAATGACACTTTAAAAAGACTTTTCCTATGCCATATCATTTTATTGACCAGAGAAGTGTTTTTTCTTTCCCTTAGGCTTTCCTAGGCATAGTCACAATTAAATCTTCCGTCTAATGAAACAGTCCATATAAGTTGATCATTTAGATCAGAAGAGCCAACTTTAACTCTTTGGATCTGTTGGACAACATGTAAAGGAAGTTATTGGCATAATTTTGAAACATTCCCCTCTCCATTATCAATATAAGTAGCGACTTGAGATCTGATGGATCTAGATGCACACCAAACTGAGCTAGGTTTCCTAGACCAGTCCAATTGTCCCACCAAAAGTTAGAGTTGCCCTTATTTACTTTCCAAAGGATTATATGGTCAATTCTATGTTTGATTTTCATCATTTTTCTCCAAGTATGTGAGTGGGTATAGTTCCATTTTCTGGCCATGGAGTGAATCCTTTGAGAGTATTTGGCTCTCATAAATTTTGTCCACAATGACTCTTTGGTCCGAAACACCCACTAGAACTTTGTTGCAAATGTATTTGAGATATCGTGGAGGTTTCTGATTCCAATACCACCTTCATCAGTAGGTAAGCATAATTTCTTCTATGATATCCTGTGGGATTTCTGTTTTTTGTCTCTTGTTCCCCAAAAGAAATTAGCAAATACCTTCTCAATTTCGTTAGTACAATCTTGGGAGGTTGGCAAATTGATAGAAGGTGCATGGGCATAGCTGTTAGTACATGACTTATAAGAACCTTCCTACCACCAGGTGATAGAAGGTTAATATGCCACGATCCTACCCTTTGTATTATTTTAGTAGCCATTTCCGTAAAGAAATGAACCTTTTTCCTTCCATAAAATAAAGGACATCCCAAATATGTGATTGGAAAATCCTTTTCCTGCATGTCCAAAGTCCCTGCCACTGTATTTTTCCTTCTCTAAGAGATATCTTTGTCCATCAAGAAACAGCTTTTTCCTTTATTAATGAGTTGACCAAAGTTCTTCTCGTACCTAGTCAGGGTCTCCTGAATCAGTTGTAGAGTTGATGTTTTACCTGAGCAAAAAATAATAACATTACAGTATAAACTAAATGATTAATCTTTGGTCCATTTCTATTGTGCTTTCTTTATCCACTAAAATACAAAAGCTACTTTATTTTCCCAAAAAAATTTCCCACCCAAAATCCTTCTCTTCCACGGTGCTGCTGCCCCAAATTTGGGAATTCTTGAATTTTCACTGTTTCAGTCCGTCACTCACCGGCAGTTGGCCACTACCATTTGGTGTCCACTTTTCCATTTCACTTCACCTTGTTGCTGCACCACAAATCTCTCTTATTCTCTTGCTTCTTTTTTTAATTTTTTTTATGTTGGGTTTCTCTGAAAATAAATTTTTTGGTGGTATAGTTAAGTATTTAAGAATATAGACTTACAAGTTGCTAAACCCCTTTGATCCTTTCATTTTCTCCCTTGTTTTTCTTTTATTCAATTCAGAATTGATTTTTTTCTCTGTTCCAATCTTTACTTTATAGTTTATTGTGTTATTGTGCATATTGTTCTCTTGAATCTCTAATTGTATTAGCTTTTGCATGATTTTTATGTAAACATATGCTAAGATGATGTGTTTCAAGATCAGATAAGCTTTTAAAGCATTTTGTTGTCAGATTTTTATTTTCATTATTTGTTTTGCTCTTGCTATTGATTCCTTGATGGCGTTCATTGGAAGTTTAGATTTTCAGTCTTAATTCAAATTTATACCAAAAATGCATATGACATCCTTGAATTAATTATGAGTTGGATTGAACATTTATTTTGTAGGAAAGATTGAGATGGATAAATTTGTTGTAAAAATGAATTATTCTCAACCAAGTTCTAGTTCTAGTGTGCCATCATTTAATCAGGCGATAGCTCCATAAATTCATACGAATGTCAATTTTTCTCATCTTATCGATGAGCTTGACTCAGAATCATTTAGCACCGACCCAGGAGAAAGAATACCCATTGCTAATTATAGCCCTCGATTACGAGATGAGGTGAGGAGATATTACATTCAAAATGGGTCTTATCAACCTACTAATCATCAATTTCCTAAAACTACAATAGGAGGGAGAATGCACCAATTTAAACCAAGTTGGTTCAAAAGTTTATTTTCAAGATGGTTGGAGTATAGTGTGAAAAAAGATGCCGCATATTGTCTATGTTGTTATTTGTTCAAAATTGAATTCGTTCATGGAAGTGCGAGTGAATGTTTTACAAAAAAAATAGTTTTAGGGCTTGGAATAAGGCTCTTGAAAGGTTCCGTTTGCATGTCGGTGAGATTACTAGTGTCCATAATAAATGTTTCAACAAGATGCTAGATTTGTCAAATCATCATCAATCAATTCAAGTTGTTTTAGACAAGCATTCTGAGAAGGTAAAAAGTGAGTACCGAATGCGCTTGGAAGCCTCAATTGATGTTGCAAGACTTCTCTTGCATCATGGATTACCTTTCCGAGGTCATGACGAAAGTGAATCCTCAACAATCAAGGCTTATTTCTAAGCTTTTTGCGGTGGCATGGGGACAAGCATCCGAATATGGGAAAAGTAATATTAGAAAATGCTCCACAAAATGATACTTTAACTTGTCCTATGATTCAAAAGGATATTGTCAATGCTTGTGCAAAAGAAACAATGAAATCTATAATTGAAGACTTCAATGGAGATTACTTTGGTATATTAGCCGATGAATCCAAAGATATCTCGTACAAAGAACAAATGACTCTTGTTTTGCGGTATGTTAATAAGAATGGTGAAGTGGTAGAACGATTTGTTGGCCTTGTCCATGTTAGTGATACATCGGCATGCTCATTAAAGGAAGCAATATATTCTTTGCTTTCGGATCACTCACTAAGTACATCTAAAGTACGTGGACAAGGTTATGATGGAGCTAGTAATATGAACGGAGAGATAAGTGGTCTCAAGACTTTAGTTATGAAAGATAGCTCATCGGCATATTACATTCATTGCTTCGCTCATCAATTGCAATTAACACTTGTACCTATTGCTAAAAAGCATTTGGATGTTGAAGACTTTTTTGATCATGTTACTAATATGTTGAATGTTGTTGGAGGATCTTTCAAGCGCAGAGACTTGCTTCGTCATCATCAAGCTGAAGAGTTGGAGCAATTACTTGGGTCCGGTGAAGTTATTAGGACAATGATTAAATCAAGAACGTGAACTTCAAAAACCAGGTGATACTCGTTGGGGATCCCATTTCAAAACATTGGATAACTTTTTTGCTATTTTCTCTTCTATTGTTCATGTGCTTAAATTGATTGAGTATGAATGTTCTACCTCACATGAAAGAAATCAAGTAGAGTATCTTTTGGGTAAGATTAGAACATTCAAATTTATTTTTGTGCTTCACTTGATGGTGAAAGTGTTAGCCATGTCAAATGAATTGAGCAAGATTTTACAAAAGAAAGGATCAAGATATTGTTAATGTCGTGGTATTTCTTGACATTACAAAGAAAAGGTTGCAAGATATGAGGGAAACCGGATGGAATCTCTATTGGATGATGTTTCCTCATTTTGTGATATGCATGATATTTTGATTCCGAAGATGGATGAGTCTTACTTTCCCGGCAAGTCTAAGCGTAAGTCTAATGTTTGTTACTCACATTACTTGCGTGTTGAAATCTTTTATGTTGTGATTAATGTGCAACTTCAAGAGCTTAATGAACGTTTTGATGTAGTGAGTAGTGATTTGCTTCTTGGGATGGCTAGCTTGAGTCCAGTTAATTCCTTTGCTAATTTTGATAAAGATAGAATAGTAACATTGGCGAAGTGTTATCCAAATGAGTTTGATAAATTGCTGCTTCGGGATTTGAGTTATCAACTCGATACCTTCATAATTCATATGCGAGGTGATGATCCCAAGTTCTCCAACTTGCAAGGAATTAAAGATTTAGCAAAAGAATTGAAGTAAATCTTGTGTAGACTTATGCACTTGTTTATTTACTGGTGAAGTTTACTTTGATTTTACCTGTTGCTACTATAAATGTGGAGAGAGTATTTTCATCCATGAAGCGAATAAAAAATAAAGTGTGAAATAGCATTGGTGATCAATATTTAAATGATTGTTTAGTTTGTTACATAGAAGCATTTGAAAAGGTAAGTAATGATGCTATCATTGACCATTTTCAAAATATGAAAACTCGTCGAGGACAATTGTAAATAAATGATGTACCTGTATGTTTTTGTTTACTTAAGGATGTAAGAATTATGTATGTCTTACTTATTAGTTATAGTGACCAACTGATTATGGTAGTATTTTCTTAATTGGAAGACATTTCCAATTGTCAAAACATGAAAGAAGTTGTCTTTTTGTACTTTTCATGTGGGAATTCTTTTTATGATATTGGTATTACTGCTGAAAATTTTATGATGTGCGCTAAGTTGTCATAATTTATTTTCGTTCGATATATTTATCTATATAAATCGAAAAGATGAATAGCTAGAACCGAAACACAAAGTTGATCAAACCGACTATATATTTATCCCATTTAGATTGTATAAATAATAATATATCTATGTATAAAATAATATGACACCCGAAACCTTCAAATCCTAGATTCGCCTCTGCCACCAGGTGATAGAAGGTTACGATGCCATGATCCTACCCTTTGTATTATTTTAGTAGCCATTTCCGTAAAGAAATGAACCTTTTTCTTTCCATAAAATAAAGGGCATCCCAAATATGTGATTGGAAAATCCTTTTCCTACATGTCCAAAGTCCCGGCCACTATAGTTTTCCTTCTTTAAGAGATATCTTTGTCCATCAAGAAGCAGCTTTTTCCTTTATAAATGAGTTGACCAGAGTTCTTCTCGTACCTAGTCAGGGTCTCCTGAATCAGTTGTAGATTTGATGTTTTACCTGAGCAAAAAATAATAACATCATCAGTATAAATTAAATGATTAATCTTTGGTCCATTTGGCAGCATGTTAAAACCAATGAACCTTGGATTATCATAAAGTTTGTTTAGACTTCTAAAAAGAACTTCAACAACAATTATAAATAGAGAAGGTGATAAAGAGTCTCCCTGTTTGACTCCTCTATGAGATTTGAAAAATCCATGTCTTCTGTCATTGAGAATCACAATATACCAATTGTTAGATAGAAGATTCCAAATAATGTGGATCCACTGCTCATTAAATCCCATTTTCCTTATGACAGAACCCAAGAAGTGTCAAGAAAGCCTGTCATAGGCCTTGTTCATTACTAACATAACTATAACATTGCCTCCCTTATTAGGTTTTCTTATATCATGGATGATTTCCTGAGCAAGTAGAATATTTTCCCCAATAGACCTTCCTATTATCGCTTTGATTGTGTGAGATAATCATAGGCAATAACCGAGATAACCTGTTATTCATCACTTTGGAAATCATCTTCTGAAAAATATTACTGAGACTAATAGGTCTGAAGTCTGAAAATGATTAAGAAGAGTCTATTTTGGGAATAAGCACAAGACAAGTATTGGTAAAGAATCTGGGCATTTGATCGCTGTTAAACACAACTCTAACCATATTTACCATATCATCTCCAATAATGTCCCAAGTTTTCTGGAAGAATAGGCTATTAAAGCCATCGGGGCCTGCAGAGCTGTTAGGATTGATAAAAAAAATTGCATTTCTAACCTCTTCCTGTGAAGGTTCTGCTAGAAGCATTATATTATCGTCATCACTGATCAATCTAGGTATGCAATTCATAATACTCATGTCAATATCTAGGTTGCCACTGTTGAATAGATCCTGATAGAAATTAACAGCAGCTATGGCTATGTTATCCCTCCCTTCCACCCACTGGCCATCAACATTAATCCTATGAATGTTAAGTAATTTTCTTTTGCCTCTCACAACACTATGGAAGTATTTTGTATTTTCATCACCCTTCAGTTGCCATTTAGGATTGGCCTTTTGTTTCCAGAAAGCTTCAACCACCTTATGGTGAACCACTAGTTCGGCCTTAGCTCTATTAAGATTCATTCTATCTTCTTGGTCCAAAGAGGTCATAAACATCTCCTCAAAGTAATTAATATTATTTTCAAGAAGACGTGTCTTGACAAAAATATCTCCAATCTTGTTTTTTGGATACTTAGAGCTCTACTAGTCTTCTTCATTTTTTGATGCACCCCCAGAAAATATTGCCAGAGATCTCTGTATCCCACTGGTGTCTCACAATTTCTGTAAAATCGTCTTGATCCACCCAAAATTTCAAGAATTTGAAGTACTTGATGTAGTTATCTTCTTCATTCTGTGCAGACATCATGATCGGGCAATCATCAAAGCTAATTCTTGTCAATTGTTTTATACTTAGCAGTTTTGGAAAAACAGGCCTCCCATTCATCATTAACTACCAACCTAACCTTTTCCAAATGACTTCTTTACCCTTTCTTTCATTACACCAAGTGAATGCTTGCCTAGTATAACCCATGTCAGTTAAATCACAATCATGAAGACACTCTATAAAAGGTAGGCTTTTGGACAAGTTGTGAGGAGTACCACCCAACTTTTCATCAGTGCTAAGGATACTATTAAAATCCCCTATGACAGCCCATGGGTTGGAAATAGTTGAAGCAAAAACTCTCATATATTCCCAGAGATCTTCTCTTCCAGCTGATTTGGATTTTGCATATACAACAGAGACATATAAATTCTTACCAGGATTATTGGGAGTTATTTTGCAGGTAATTATATATGGCACCCGGAACCTTCAAATCCTAGATCCGCCTCTGATTGCAGGATTCCTAAGTTATAGTCCACTTCCCTTACATGTTTTGTCAATCGTTTCCTGGACTTCATTTCTTTTTGTTTTCGTTTTCCCGCTGCAAATTGCTTGAGCCAATAACTCGGTTTCCTCATCAGTCATCTCTTCTTCAGTAAACTCCTCGGATGTCTCTTCTTCTTTTTCTTCTTTTGTGGTAGTGTTATCTGCCCGTTCATCCTGGAGCTCTTTTCCATTTTGATTAGTGTTTTATTCTTCAGGCCCTTTGCTTGACTCTCTCATGTGGTCAATATTATTCTGAGGTTCCTCCTTATTGCTTAGACTATCAAATTTATTGCAAGTACTTGCATTTTCCTCTATGAGCAGAATCTGCTTTTTAGCTCTTGTGTTCTTATTCAACTGTACTTTCCATCGCTCTTCTTCTTCATGTTTAGAGTCTTGAAATAGAACTACCTGAAGATCTTTGGGGTTCTCAATAGGGATCTGTAACTCTCCTGCATCATTTGTCAACTTTTCTATTGCAATTTTATTTGGAGTTTTTGGTTGTGCTTTGCAGCTAGAAGTGCTCGCTCCTGCACCATTTATCAGCTTCTCTTGGGTAATTTGGTTTGGAACTGTTGGCTTTGGATTGCTGCTAGGTGCGACCTTTGCTTCCATTTCTTTCTCTTTCTCCATTGTTATTAATCCTTACTTTTGATGCTCGGCCAAAAATGTATTTATTTATCCATTGTTACATCACGTTCTAGTAGTTTTTACTCGTCATTTGACTATTAATTACGTAAAGAATTACAAAAAAATACACATGACTTCACACCATAATAAAAAATAGCACATATTTTTATGTTTTATCCCACCTAGCCCATATTGTACATATTTTGAAATCACTAGCAAATTTAAAATCTGTGTTCTTACAACCATTGCTTCTAAAAATCATGGAGTTAAATCTGTGTTCTCACAACCATTGCTTTCACTCTCTCTTTTTCTCACATCTTCTACATATGCTTCAAGAGACCATGTATTTTCTGCTTCTCCTCTTATGTCACCTGCTTGCAATGTAAGAAAATTGAAGAGCAAAAGTCCACCATTGAAGTTCATTCAAAATTTTGTTTTTGAAAATGAGTTTTATTGAATTTGTTAATTGTTTGGATTGGGTGTTGTTCCAATTGATTGAAAATATCAAAATGAGTTCAAAATTTAAATTTAAAGTGATTTGGAGTAGATTTGAGTTAAATTTCAGAAAAAACGCAAGGAAGAAGACGAAGTCAGTTTTTTATATAATTATATATAATCTTGTATAATAGTGTATATGAGTGTAGAAATACACCTTATACACTATTATACACTTTTATACACATTTATACAAGCGTTTGTAGACGAACTTCTTTCACGATTTTTAGTTGCAATTCTTATTCAAAACCAGTCCAAATTTCCATTAAATGACTTCAAATTT